TGTTTACTGGCTCTTTTTTTTTTTTCTCTCTGACAATTCCCTTCTTTTTACCTTACTGCTTGCCTGACTGTAGTTGAGTTTAGGATTTGTTTCTTTTGTCCTAGGAGCCAGGCAGGCCTGTGCCCACTGACCCTGCAGCATGTTGCAGTGGGCTCAGGGGAGCAGGTATTCTCGGTCACCCTGTGCACAGTGTTCCTTCTCCTGGGTGCCCCAGATGCACACGTGGTGAGCAGCGTTGGGCTGAGCACGTGGAACCACACTGGTTCCACCATGTGGACACTTCAGCAGGCCAGTGTGCTCAAGGAATACTGGAAAAGCTGTTTTGCTTTAGTTTTCCTTACCTTTTCAATAAGTGTACCTGTGGGAATCAAATCCTGCAGATGCTTATGCGTAGATTTGGCTTTTGCACCCACTTTGTGATCACAAACTGTGTTGCTTCCATATCATCTCCCCCTCCTTCCACTGCATCCCTTCTCCCCACATCCGCAGTTGCTCGGGACTGTGTGAGAAACCAACGCTTTGGACCAAAAGTGGAAACACAGGACTTCTGCAGACAGTTTACTGAAACGTTTCCTAGAAGTCCTCTGCCCAGTTTGACAGCTTTTTAGCCTGATTATTAATGGTTCTGACAATCTTTGGGTGAGTGCTGCCAGTCCTGAGTCAGTTCTGGTGCCTACATTTCTTTCAGCATCTCCAGCTGGCTCAGGAGTGCTTTTGGTGATCAGGGGTCCTGGAATCCCACTTTCCAGGCCCAGCTGCATGTGGATGTCTGGAGCACCAACAGGGATGTAAACTGGCCGGGGCAGGCAGTTTCTCTCCCTGTATGCAGTACAGGCTGAGGTCAGATGGGAGAAGTGAATGTGATAAACCTGAGAGCAGAAAAAGAAAAGGTTCAGGTGCTCCACCTCAGACTGTGGAGCTGGGCGGGTATCTGCGTGAAGTGAGTGCTCCAGTTTTTTTCGTGTTGTTTGCACAAGACTTTCAAACTTCTGTGTCTCATTTTTGGGTTTTCCCCAATTTTTCTTTCCTTGCTCTGTAGGTCAGTTCACATCCAGTCTTTCCAAAAATCCTAGTAGGCAGACCTGTGGTTGCAGGCATTGTTTTGCCATGTGGTCAGAGGCTACTTTTGGCTGATGGACAGGTCGGAGGAAGCTGGACTGAGTTCCCCTGGCCCCTCAGGGAAAGGGGTGCTCAAAAGGGTGAGCAGGTTCCTGGAGCTCCTTGTGCCACAGCTGGACTGGCTTTAGCCAGAAAAGCACACGGTCTAAGTGTGCTTTTTGAGAAACAAGGGTGTTGATTGCTCCAGGAGTTTGTTGTCACAGAGAACGAGAGTTGTAAGTACACGAGAAATCTTCCTTAGGAGGAAAATCAATAGTAAAACAATGTTTCAGTCTATAGTCTCAGCAAGTCATTTAATTTTTAAACCTTTAAATTTAATTTTTAAATCTAGTTCTTCTCAGAGGTGAAAGCTTTTCCATTTGTGTTTTATTGAATTTGAGTAGTAAGTCAGCGTTGGGAAGGTTTTTGTTTTGTTTTTGTAGGATGCCCTTCCAGTAACTCCCCAAACTCCTCACAGCTGTTTCCTTTTTTAAAAAATGGAAATTTTTACAAGGTACATTTTAATTTTAATTTGCAATCAGTAACAAGTTCCTCTTTAAACATGGAATATATAAATTTCAGACTGTGTTTTAACTGGAAGCCAATTTTTATTTTGAGCATATATTTTATGAATAAGTTACTGTTATCACTTGTTCTTACTGTAGATGTACTGCTGCAAATAATGCAGTGACTTGTACCTCTGTAGGATTTTTACAAAGACCGACACCATGAGGCATTAAACCTCTCCCTAAAGATATGGAAAAGATGTAATGACATAAAAAATCTTTTCTGAGAAACAGAGACAGAGGAAAAAAAATAAAGACAACTGGGTGAAACATATTTCTGTTGATTTGGGAGTTCATATTTTATTTTGTCTAGCAATCAAGATGCATTTTTTCTTTTTAGAAAATAAAAATACATAATTTTGACTTCCAGTTTGAAAAAGCAGAAGCCCTGCGTTTACATATTCCACACAGTTTCGTTTTGCACTCCTCTTTCCATTTTTGCGTTTGCGTGTCGCGTTTTAAGTTCAGATTTTGCTTTTGCTTTTGTAATTTTCTGTTTGGAAGGAGAAGAACAGTGATTTCAGTTCAGACAGGTGAAGCACCAGCCGTGACTGCGTGGCTGCTCCCGGAGAAGGAGGTGGCCTCTGGAGTGGCAGCGTGGGACCCCAGCGGCTGTGCCTGCGGGAGCCCTGCGTGGTGCTGGGCAGCTCGTGGGCTGCGCCCGCTGCCTGCTTGGCAGGATTGGAGCCGTGCTGGGCTCCCAGGCATCGCTCCGAGTTCCTGCAGCAGGCAGGGCGCCTGGGCTTTCCCTCCTCTCGCTGTACCTTCAGCTAACGTATCTCGTCTGTGGCGCGGCCTCTTCTGAAGAGCCCGAGCTTTAGATGAAAATGGAGGCAGAAAGGAACTGCAGTAAAAGTAGTTGTACTGCTAGTTCATCCTATGATTAATAGCAAGACTTGCTTAGAAGTTAGTCTTTGATTTCCTCTGTTTAATTGTAGCCCTAAGTGAAATGGGTTTTTGATTTATAGAAAATGCAAAATTGGGCACAGAAAGTTTTAAATTACAGTAACAGTAAAAAATTTCCCACAATAATCATCCCATATTGTTTCAATTCAAAAGAGCTAAGGCTTGATTTGTGTGGGAAAGAATCCATAGCAGCCAAGTTCCGTTTGAAACTGGGGAGAGGGGAGGATCAATTACCTTCTTCTGAGGATATAAAAATATGCCTGAACTTCACTATGTAATACTTTTATCGTATATTCCCTCTCTGGAAGGTTACATGATGATTAATTAATTTAGAATAGTTGTTTTCTTACATGGGTACCACGAAAAAGCAAGCTAGAAAGTTTGTGTTAGAACATACAAGAATGTTGGTTTTAAAAGCAGAAGCTTTAGGAAAAGCGATGGCTCGTAATCATGATGGAAAACAAATCTGGTTTTTTTTATAATTACTTGCATTGTGCAGAACAGTTCAGTATACCGTGAAAGTTTTAAAAGCCATAGTTCAATAACTGCAGTAACTTTAATAATGGCAGTTTAATTCCTAAACTCCTTTTGGAAGTCCTGCACGACTGATCTCACTTTTGCTGCACCGTATTTATGTTGACCACAATGTCTGTGTATGTTTACAGCAGTAATCCTAGCTGTTGAAATTCTGGATAGTTAAAATATATTCAGTATCATTGAAGCTGTTCTGGGGGAAATGACTTGGCTTTAACAGGGTGAGACCAAATTCTGCTTTGTTTACAGGGGTAAATGCTGAAAAACACTAATCTTACCAATGAGGGTTTGCATGTGTGTTCCTGAGAGTAGAGTTTGGGCCTTTCATATTTGCTTTTTTCGTGTACCAAAACACAGTTAAAAATAATTTTGAAAATAATATTGAAAATCATATTGCAGTTGTTATTCTGTTGGCCAGCTTGATGTTTTTTAAAATTCTGCTTCACAGTCTCTCCTCACATACAGTTTTTATTTGGAACACACTGAATTTACAGTTTTAATATAAAATGCTGCTTCCATTCTATTTAATTTGGCATGACCAAGTGTAAAATCTAACCATAATGCACAATATTGGTCCATTTATAAGCATTTTTAAATTGTACTGCACTTCTTGGATAATTTATTGTGGTAGGATTTTAAAGTCAGGTAAGCACTGCATTTGTGCTATAGCCTGACAGTTTAATCAAGATACAAATTTAGAAACAAATCAGCACTGTCTTTTATATAGTGCCTCTAAATCCATGGTAATTGGTACCAGACCTCGGTAACAGGGAAGGATCGCAGTTTCATGCTACCAATACCAGTGGGTGTTGCTCCACAGCTGCATCATATAAGAAGAGAAGATGCAAGAGAAATTAAAGGATCCCCACATGCGTTTTTCTGTGACATACCTTTTGCAGAGTCTGAGGCTGATGGAAAATTCCCTTGAATCCAGCGTGTTAGAGGGCTGTAAATAGTGCCATATGTTCTGCGCACTTTAACTTCTACCTTTGGAGAGCACGGGGCACTCTTTGAGTCAGCTTTCTTTACTCTGTAGTTTTGAAACATTTAAAAGAGCACGAAAGCTTGGGGAGGGGAGAATGCAAATGCTGCTGGTGTGTTCCCTGGCTGCCCCGGGCTCCCTGCAAAGGCCTGTTCCGGGAGGCTCTGCCGTGCCAGGATGTCCCGCGCAGCACGAGCTGGGCGCAGGTTGGTCCTGCACACCCGGGAGCAGATCCGAGCTATAGGCTGAGCTTTGTGTGCTCTGGCAGCACAGATGGAGTGTGCTGTCATTAGGACTGTTTGTTGCCTGTTGGAACACACAGCATATTTCTACCGTGGCATCAACAGTTTCTAAGAACTGAGGTCAAAATAAACAGGTTGCAGTTGGATACAGGAACAGTCTGGGAAACAAAATTCTTGCTTAGGCATAACTGTGTTCCTAGATCCGTGGATAAAAAGGCATTCTTTCACCAAGGGCTGGTCTAGATTTCTGCTGGTGAGTGCAGATCCTCATGGAGTTGCAGGGGTACGCTCAGTAAGTTTTCTGGAGAGATTGGTGCGTGTATGCAGAAATGACCTTATTTTAAATAAAGAAGCAATTTTAAGCACAATAATTTCACACTGTTTCTCTCAGTCTTCGTAGGACTTGATCAAAGTGGAAGTGATGTCCCGGTGCCCATTTGAGAAGGGCATATTTCAGTTAGAACTCAGGCTCCACTGCAGGTGTGGATGGCACTGAAGGTGGCAGGACTCTGCGTGGGACAGACAGCCTTTGGCAAACCCTCTGGAAGTGGCTGGAGTTGCCACTGCCCCAGCCTCCCCACTCCACCTTGTTCCTGGGCATTGGTGCTTCCTCAGCAGAGCCTGTGAGGGGAGCGTGTGCCCACACCTGAGCTGCTTCGTGTCCACCCACAGGTCCAACTGGAGCCCTTGGAAGCGCGTCGTTCTCTGCTGAGCTGCTGCCGTGTTCCCGAGGCCTGCGCCTGCAGATCCAGCGTGGAGAGCCCCATCTCCAGCAGCCAGGTGGAGCAGACACCCGGGGAAAAGGGACTTCAGTGTATGACAGAGCTCAAATGCCAAGTGCCCCTTCCACCCCGGTAAGTATTTACAGGATCAGCCCGTACATAGACTCAGATTCCAGGTGATTCCTGGCCCCAGGGAGATGAGCAGACGGATTTTAGCCAGGGATATCTGTGAAAGCAGGGTTTAATTTGTAGTGTTTAAAAAAACAGCAGACTTGTACTTAACAGGACAAATACTTGGGATGATTTTGGCTTGAGAGAGCTGTAAGTAGATTTGTTTCTTGACAGAATCAGCAACAGTCACTTGGAAAGGTTTACTCATATTTACCTGGTCACAGTTTGTTAACAACCAATGGAACTATCTCCTGCTTGTTGGGCTGCAAACACACAAAGGCATAGCAAGCTGCTAGATGTTAGAAAATGTTCTCATGGGGTTTTGTTGGGGTTTTTTAGCGGGAGGGTTAAATGTAACTCTAGTTTCAGTGGTTAAAATTAGAAGACAAGATTATTTTTTCCTTTTCAGAAATGAAACGTTATTGAGCTGTATGGCATGCTTAACAGTAAATAGTTAATACAGATATGAGTAGTGAAGTAGGGAAAAGAGGTGTCAGGAGAATTAAGAAAATTTAGACGACTAATATGGAAAGATGTGTTTAGTTCTTTTAAGAGTGAAAAAGAAAGCCTTCCCGTATTCTTTGTTGCTTCCAGTTTGCTGCTGTTGCCATTCTTACTTGCCATGTCATGAGGAGTTCAGTGCTCTGTATTAAAACCAGAGTAGTAATATTATCATCCCTTCCTTTCCATATGCTGCTTCCACCACAGTGACAGGGAACAGCGCTCCTGGAAAACTCCTTTTCTGGGCTGATCTTACTGTCTCCACCAGGTTTTCTTGGCTCTTGCTATGCCTCTACACACAGTCTGTGTGTAACCATGTGCCTTTCCATCCTTTGCCCTGGCAGGGCTGGTGCAGCCTCATTCCCCCTGCCCCAGCCCCTCTCCCCTGCGCACAGGCAGCTGCTGAGTCTGCAGCTCCTCGTGCCTGTGCCTGAGTTGGGAACACTCTCCTCCCCCCCACTTTTGAGTTGGCTCTCAGCGCCTGCCGCAGATGGTCTGTACCTCATACATAATAAGGATTTTTTTTTTTTCTTCTGAGGAGGGTTTCTGTGAATGTGAGAGGCAGACAGTCTGGCAAGCTTAGACCTGTGTTTTTATATTTTTTTGTAAGTGAGCCTTGAGGGATTTGTTTGCCATAGTTTGGAACCCCTTAATAGCTAGTGGAGCTCAGTAGTATTTTGGTGCCGAAGTAGGAATCTGATTTGTCCACTTGATGTTTTCTGAGGGGAAATTATATACATAGGCAAAATGAAGTTAGGGCCCAGCTGGACAAGACAAAGAAATTAAGCAGAGGCATTCCAGGAATTAAAGTGGTTGCTTTAGGAAGGTGATCTTCTAATAAAAGTATGATAGGTTTGTGTGAACTATGTTTGGGAGTTGCTTTGGGGTAGGCTGTTAGAGGTATATACTAGTCCTAGTAAATGTTTTCTGGTGAGTTCACTCTGCACTGCTTTTAGACTTGAGTAATAAATTCTGGGTACCAAAATGTCCCCAGGACCTCATGTAAGAGCCAGAGGAGCATTTTCAAGTGTCAGATGGTTTGAGTTCTAGGTAGCTCAACACTTCCTCGTTCTTTTGTGTGGTGTTGTGTTGGTGGGGTCGCACTCAGCACTCCCGGAGCCATAAAAATAGGCACATGTGGAGAGTTCTGCTTCATGGGCCAGGCTTTGATTTTCTGTTCTGCGTGGAAGCTGCCTGCCTGCACAGGGCTGTTCCTGATCTCTGCAGTACGCTTTGGGAGCTGAGAATGTACAACATACGCAGGAGGAAAATAGTGGAAATACACTTATACCAGCAGTTTTAGCAGCTGATTTGACTCCCCCAAGAAAGGATATGTCAAGGTCAGATATGGGGTTGTGTGTTTTAGAAGATAAGAGAAAGACGTCCTGAACAAAGTTGGATTTTGTTCATGATGAGGAAGAGTTTTTTACAGGTATTTCACTCCTCTGTTTTTCGTGTTAGCACAGTCCAAAACAGACTTGTGGACTGTGCAGTATTTGCCAAAGTACTTTGGGGTTTAAATGTCTGAAACTGCTGGCTCCTCTAAGGAAAAAACCTCACTGTTGTCAGATAAGGCACTTTCCCAGGGCCTGAAGTGTGTCAGAGTAAGGAACTCTAAGGAGTGAGCAGAGCAAATAAAATACTTTGAGAGGAGATGAGCTTCAGAGAAGATGATTCTTAGGCAGCAGTGATCGGCAGCACACGATGGTCACAGACTCATCCTCCAGGCTGGAAGGGACCTCAGGAGGCATCTAGTGCAGCCTCCTGCTCAAAGTGGGGTCAGCCCCAGGATCAGACCAGGCTGCTCAAGGCTTCATCCAGTTGGATCATGGAAGCCTGGGAGCATGGAGACTGCACATCCTCTCTGTGCAGCCCCTTCCATTGCTTGGCTGACTTTTTGAGCTGCTAGGATGCATGTTTTAAGCATAGAACACGAGGGTTAGAGATCTACTTAGTCTTAAAAATTAAGTGTTGTGTAATTGCATAACTGTGAAACTGAGGCTTTAAGAACAATACTGAATATCATGAAATTTGTGCTTTGATTTTTAAGTTAAGCAATATGGATAAGATCAAGAGTCTGCTGCTTTTGTAAAGCCAATGTTCATCTAAGAAGGGTTTTTTTCAAATAGTGAACCGTATCTGTAAAGTTCTGAAATGATAGCTACTATTATGTGCTCCTCTGCTTGGCACAGTAATTAAGGTATACATTAATGCTCTGAGACGTGTTTAGAAGTATGGAATGAAATTATTCACCCTGCCACTATAAAAATTGCTTGCTGAGTCCAACAGCATATGTGTTGCTATAGAAAGTTGTTCATGTATTCTGCATGGGTACAGTTAAATCTAGTATTTCACATGTTTTATTAAATATTTAAATATAAAAATACCTTTAATTGTATTAAAGATATGTGGGGGTTATTTACATATTGAACTGGTCTGGGACAGATGTTTATAAAGGTAGATCTTACACTGTAACAACCACTAAGGATTAAATTGTCAAGCTACTCATACTGCTCATACTACTCATACTGAGGTGTCTGCAAGCAACTGTGTGAGCAGGGCAGCAGGAATTCCTGCCTCTGCAGGGTGTGGCTCACCCCTGCCAGGTTTGCACATCCACGCTGCCCGTGGGGTGAGTCCCTTGGGAGCGCCGGGCACGGCCCTCAGCACTGCAGGGTGGGTTTGTACCTCAGAGGAGGCCCGTGGCTGCTGAGATAGTTCTGCAGCCACTGATTATTTCAGTCTTAGATTTAAGTTTGCAGTGTGGACTCTATCTCTGGCTTTCTGAGCAGCCACAGTGTTCTCAGGAAGGCTCTGGTGTGGGTTTACAGGCTGTGTAGTTACCAGGTGAGGTACCACCGCTGCTTGCGCCACCACTATTCTGCCTACCAGAAAACCTTTGTAAATAAACATTCCACAAGATGCTCGAGAAGATGCTCAGGTCCAATTTGCTCTGTGGCTGTGCAGGCTCCACTCCCTGTCAGCCCAGGGGCAGGTGCATGTTCTTCCCCAGCGCTGACGCCGTCCGGAGCATCCGCTGTCCCAGTGTCCCAGTTTTTGTGAAAGTCCAAATTCTAGATGCTCACTGGCATACACACCTCTTAGCATGTTCAAGATCTAAATGCAGTGTTGAGGCAGCCTTTCTTTTACAGCTAATATTGATATCCTGTCCCAGAGTTAGAAAAGCAGAGAAAAGAAAACCCTGACAGATGTTTGTGCTTTAGTTGATACATATTTGCATATTTCTGCGTGGTGAAAGTTGGTTCTTTTAATTGTTTTTGCAGCCTATCAGCCTGGATGTAGTCACCCTGCCAGAAGGATGAAATTTACAGCAGAAGAATTAATTTAACACCGAAAAAGCTCTTCCTCATCTGAACTGTCATTCAAAATGAATGATAAAAGTCACCAAGGAGAAGTTTTCTGTCCCACTATTTGCAGGACTCCTGGAAAAATCTTCTGAAACTTGAGGTAAGTTTTAGAAAAAAAGAACAAACAGCTTAGCTGTAAAGTAGAAGCTGATGTGAAAGTGTAATTCTAGGGCAGAGAAGATCCTGTGTGTGCACTGATCTCTCTGCTGAGATATCTGTAGGAGCAATGGCATGTGAGAAAATTTCAATGCAGTATTTGTTTAAGTAATCAAAGCAGAAAGAATAAGCCTAAGTTTACTACCAGGATTGAATAATATATATATATTTGAAGGAATTGCTTAGTATTTAAAAATGAAAGCTTCTATTGTATTTTCGATATTCTTTTGAAAATATATGTCAAAGTACAGAAATGTTTAACTACGAAAAATAAGTGATAGTGTAAGTAGGACAAGTAGGAACTGCTGAGTGGTATTTTGGCTTGCTTAGCTCCTGAGAAATAGCTGCAGTATTTGCACTGTGTTCAGTTAATGCCATTGTCTTGCCCTTGGTGGTTTTGTTTTGCATTCAGCAGTGCTATCCATTCTCTTACATCTGGTGAATTAAATTCTTCCAGTGTATTTCTGTCAATGCTTCAGTCAGTGCTCTGTCAATGTAGTACAGGTGGTTAGGGTGTCATCGGGATCCCTTCTCCATCACTGTGGTCGTAGGATTTTGTATGGAGCATTTTCCAGAGCCTATCAGTATTATACAGGACTCCTTTTCTCCTGCTTCTGTTTCAGGTCCGAGCTATAACTAAAATTCATGCCAGAAACCTTGCTTTCTGAACGCTGGGCATAGTTACTGGTGGTGCAGGTGTTCACATTCAGGGCAGTATCAAGTGCTGCTTATGATAAACGATGGAAAACTCACTTTATAGCCTTAGGAGTTTGGCCAGGGCTTACAAGCAATTATTTTTCATTTGTTTATAGTCAGACAAGTTTATAAGTAAAATGGTAATGGGCATAAGTGTTCTTGCAGCCTTTGCAGCTCCTCTTTCTTTTTAGAATCAAAGAATATTTGTGGTAGAATGCATAGGAGTCAGTAATAAGTGTGGGGGGATCAACAGCATGGATATTTATTTATTTGTTTATTTATTAAATGTGATTATCCCCTATCCTCCCATGATCTGTGCCTTTGCAGTACAGGCAAAGCATGCGTCTTTTCAGTTTTGCTCCTACTCCAAATGCTGTAGGATAAGAACGATAGCTGGACACTGGTACCACACTGTGCACCCCAGAGCGCCAGAGTATTAATGAACACAGGCAGAGCCTTATGTAAGCATGACATCAGTGTCTCATTTCTGGAAATGACTAGTGTAAATGACCACTGGCCTGATGGATCCGTTGTGCTGATCTGTAGCCTGCACGGCCTGCCTGTGCATTGCATCAAGAACGTGAAAAAACTTTCCAGGAATCCTGACACAAGGTGATACTGTTTTGGTTTGCGTAGGAAGCATGTATGTGGGTGAATATACGTGTTGCATACGTGTGTATAAATAGGTAAAGTGTCTTGGATTGTCTGTGTCTGGGGGCAAAGCCTCACGTTTGACAGACCTTTTAACTTCAGGGGTTGTGCATCTTTTGTGTCAGCTCTGAGACAGTTGAGATCAGCTGAAATGTCAGTCCTGGGGGGGGGTCACTGGTGGGTAAGAGAGAGTTGCCATGATCACAGTTTCTCTGAGAGCCCTTGGAGTCTATGATTTGATTCCTCTCCCAGCTTGGTCCAAGCCAGCATGTGTTTGTTGGCTGTAAAGCACATTTGTCTCTGCAGCACCAGGGGATACCAGTCTGGGGCTGCCCATATCTGCTGAAAAGGTACTTGAGGGTTGGGAGTTTCAAGACCTTAAATAACTATATAGAAAGATGACTTCTGTTGAGGAAATGTTACCACTTTGCTCATTTCTGTCTTTCTTTTATGACTTTCATTGTGTGCCAGTGGTGCTGAAAAACTGAGATTTGGGTGTCCATATATTTTATACTGAATTTAAAACATAAATAGCTTACCACAAGAGTCTTCTTTATAAAAAGTGAAGAGAGAGAGAGAAATCCATTAAGAGGTGATTATTCTTATTAAGAAAACGGTGAGTTATTATTGCTACCTCTGACATACCTAAGTCTAGTAATACATGTATCTCTTTAGGACTTGACCTCAGAATAAATTTCAAGATCAGAAACTAAATCAAAATCATCTAAAACTCGATCCTCATGTATTTTTAAGGAAGTGCTCTATTCCAAGAACTTTAATATATGAAATCTCGTTAAGGTTAAAGTCTCTGCAGGCTGGAGTTAATTTTTTGAGGAAGAAACACAGTTAACAGTAAAATCAGGTAACACCCAATGATATTGTCACAACTTGTTAATTAAAATAAATTTGTAGTGAGAACATCTTCAGTGTATACAAAAATACCAGCTTCTCTTTTTATTGTTGTGTTGATACACGATTTTCTCAGTAATAATATACTTCATTTTGGAAAAAAACTAACCTTTGTGTCTTCACTAGCAAACATTCAGTGCTCTTCTGACTGTTTTTTCATTCTGTTGGTTCTCATGTGTTCATGTGAGAATTTTTTGGATCATACTTGAAAAATATTTTAGCACTCAGTAAACCTTCCTTCAAGTACACTTGCTCTGGGTGCTCTCAGAGGGAGGAAGAACCGCTCTCCCGTGCTTCTCATGTCCTGGATATGTGCAGTGCCTCTGACAGCTGATGCTGCATTGCTCCAGACAGAAATAGAAATCAGGAAATCTGGCCTTGTATTACCTGCTGCAAAGTGAGAAATGAGGCATTTTAAAGTCAGGTGCAAACACAGAATCCAGTGTAGTTTTCCTGTTTCTGATTTTTCAGTTCTGGCCCAAGGAGTATGGTGTTCTCAAACCCAGCCGAGGGGAGAGGCTGGCCCTGTGCCTGTTAGTTTTCTGGAAAGTTATTTGGATGTGTTGAGGTCAAGAAAGAGGTTTTGGTTGTGTGCAATTTTGTTTCTCGCTGAGCTGCAGGAAGCAGATTCCCTTGCACACAGGCGACCTTAAGTGGGTTGGTGAGCCATGAGTACAGGAAACGGACAGTGAGAGCACTCAGCTTCTCTTTGGAAGAGCTTGACAAATCCCAGGCAAGGCTAGGCCTCCTGAGATGGTTGGCATTATCAGGCCGTGCATCTACAGGACTGGGTTCAAGCACTTACTTGGCCTCTCTGCTCTTTTTTTTTGTTTAGAATTTCAGTTCTCTGGAGTATTATTAGACAAGGAAATGATGTGTCCACATAGTTCAGATTTAGCAAACTGATAACAATAACGATAAACAATTAATTACTAAAAAAAGAGCATGAAAGAATAAATATGTTTAAGTGTATTTTAGATTTAAATGTAGCAGCTGTGCAATTATTATTCTCAGACTCTGGAGTGAGGCGCTGGGACTGACATAACTTGCCCTGAGTATTCCCCGGATTAAAAATTCTTGCTGTTTAGATTCTGTCATGAAATGGTTGGCATCCCAACAGTCATGACAAGTGTATAAGTTGGCAAGGAATTAAAAACGGTGGTGCCTCTGAAGTTTAGCAGGAGGTTTCCTGCCTGGGGATGGCGAAAATTATAGCTGTTGCTAATGCCATTCTCTTGTTTGTGTAGCAGCTCGTTTCTGAAACAAAGCAAGCTTGGGCACATGTTCCACTTTGTAATAGGAACTGCTACATTTGATTTTCTTTGAGTGTTTTCAGACACTGGAGTTTTCATGTGCCCACTTCTTTTTTTTTTTTTTTCTTGTTGTTTTGTTAATAAATTAAATCTGACTACAAGGTCTCGCTGCCTCTGAACTGCAGTAAGGGCTGCTTGAAAAAGCATGAGCCTCCTAAAATTTTTAGTCTCAAGAGGAAATAACTAATTTTTTGTTTGTCTTTGATCCAGTCGCATCAATGCAATTTTCCTTCTTCAAACAATTGAGCCTGCAGTTCATTATAGTGCAAGACCGGAACCCTTTTATTACCTTATTTTTAGCAACAATTACATTAAGCCTTAAAATTGCGTTTGAAAAAGAAAGGCCTGCACGAGCCCCAAATCTTTGCTCCTAAAACTTGCTCTTGCTGAGGTCCCCAAGAGAGGCAGTGGCAGATTGAAGCCCAGCACCTTTGCTCTGCTGGGAGAGGACCAGTTGGCCGGGAGTGTCCTTTGCTGGTGGGACTTGATGGCTTCTCTATGGCCAGGGGGAGGAGTGGTGCCCTCGCAGAGCGAGGCCCCTCCTGATGTCTTTGTTTGCAGGATTTTTAATTTGTTCTCCTCAAGGCTTTCAAGGAGTTTGTAGTCCTCTGAAGTGACCTGAGGGTGCTGTGTGTGCTGGGCTGTCAGTCCCTGGGGCTGTGTGGGACCCACTTGCAAGTGCCGTCTGTGCCGTGAGTCTCAGCGCCCTCCTGCCCCCTGCGTCAGGGAACACTGTGATGACACGCCAGGGCATCCGTGGAGGGGAATCTGGGGAGCTCCTCAGCCTGGAGCTCCTCAGGAGCTCTGCAGGGCTCTGCTCCTGCAGGCTTTAGCATCTTCCCAGAGCACGGCCTCAGACTCTTTCACAGCTTATGTACTTGATTAAAATGTCATTTCCCTTCAGCTTATGGAGCTCAGAAGCTCTTAGAGGCATGAATAAATGGAGAGACAGGTTCTATCTGCTATGGAGTTGAGGAGCTGTGATTCAGAGGAAAAAAATCATTCTGCCAGGCGATTTGTTAGGTTCAAGCATTGCTTCCAGAATTTTTCAAACAAGAGTGTTCATCTGCAGTTGGGACTGGCTGACACTGTCACTTCTTCTTAGGAAATATGCCGTTGGAGAATGTTGTAGTTTTCTTAAACACGACCCTTAGAAGTCTAGGAAGAGAAATGCACTGCTGAGGCAGGAGGGAAGTAAGGGAGAACACTGCATGAGATTTGGAGGTGTCTGCCAAACTGGAGAGAGCAACCTCCTGTCACAGCGGCTGTGGCAACCCAGCTGGAACTTGGAAACAGGAGCATAGTTTGAAACATTGGATATTTTACTCTCATTGTACCTGATTGAAATATCCACATATTACAGGTAGTAAAGCTC